CATATCCCCCCAGCCCATTAGTTCTGTTTTAATTTTTCAAGGAACCTACGTGTAGTTTTCCAGAATGGTTATGCTAATTTACATTTATTACCAGTAATATAAAGGGGTTTCCTTTTCTCTATTTACTCATCAGCCCTTGTTATTTTCATCTTTTTATAAAAGCCATTGTGGGGCTAGATTTGTGGCTCAGCGGTAGAGCGCTCGCCTAGCATGTGCAAGGCCCTGGGTTCAATTCTCAGCACCACACAAAAATAAGTAAATAAAATAAAGGTATTGTATCCAACTACAACTAAAAAATAAATATTTTTAAACAAAAGCCATTGTGGCAGATGTGAAATATTATCTCATGTGGTTATAATTTACATTCTCCTAATGAATAGTGATATTATTTTTTCATATGTATGCTTCCATTTGTCTGACTTCTTTTAAGAAATATTCAGATACCTTGATCATTTTTAATTGACTTTTTGTTTTCTTCTGAGTTTTTTGAGCTCCTTATATACTTATATTTGGAAAGTAATCCTTTAGCAGATGTACAGTTTATAAATATTTTCTCCTGATTTATAGGTTGTCTTTATACAGTTTCCTTTGCTGTTTAGAAGGTTTTTAATTTGATGTAATCCTATTTTTCTGTTTTTGTTGCATGTGCTTTTAGGATCAACTCCAAAATAATCATTGCCCAGATCAATGTCATTGCTAGTTTTCCTCTGTTTTCTTCTAGCAGTTTTACAGTCTTTGGTCTTACATTTAAGTTTTCTTTCATTTTGTATATGGGATGAGGTAAGGTTTCAATTTTGTCCTTTTACATGAGGAAATCCAATTTTCTCAATACCATTCATTAAGACCTCCCTTTTGACATGGAGGGTTAATTTTTGGGCTCTCCATACTGTTCCATTGGTAATTGTGTTTTGTTTTTGTTGTTTTGTTTCTTTGCCAATAAGATGGTGCTTTAATTGCAATAACTTTGTAATACATTTTAAAAATAGTGTCTGGCTTTGTTCTTTTTGTTCATGGTTATATTGGATATGTGGGATCTCATGTTCTATATAAATTTTAGGAATAAGATTTTTCTATTTCTATGAAAATGAGGTTACAATTTTATTCAGGATTGCACTGAATCTGTATATCACTTTGGGTGATATGAACATTTTAACAGTGCTAATTCTTCCAATTCATGGTCATAAGAGACTATTATGAACAATTATATACCAACGAATTGAATAACCTAGAAAAATAATGGATTTCCTAGATAAATACAACTGTCAAGACTGAATCATGAAAAAATAGAAAATCAGACCAATAACACATGAGATTTAATCAGTAAAAAAAATCTTCCATCAAATAAAAACTTGACACCTGTTGGCATCACAGCTGAATTCTACTAAGCATTTAAAGAAAACAACTAATACCATTCCTTCTCATATTCTTCCAGAAAATCAAAAAGGAGAGAATCTTCCAAGCTCTTTTATGAAACAAAACCAAACAAGGATATTACAAGAAATGAAAATTATAGGCCACTATTCTTGATAAATATACATGTGAAAATTATCAGCAAAATTCAGCAAACACATGAGAAGGATAATTCACTAGACTAAGTACGATTTATCCATGAGACAAAAGGATGATTCAACATATATAAATTAATAAATATGTCACATTAACAGAATGAAGGAGAGAAGCTGTATAATCATCTCAGTAGATAGAGAAAAAAAAGCATTTTACATTATTCAGCATCAATTCATGATAAAACTCATCAAATTAGGCATAGAAGGAATTTACCTCAGCACAGTAAAGGTCCCATACAAGAAGCCCATTACTTCCCAAAAGGGAAAACTAAAAAGTCTTTCCTGTAAGGTATGGAAGAAGACAAGGACATCCATGCTCAGTTCTATTCAACAAGGTATTGAGAGACCTTGCCACAGCAGATTGGCTAGAAAAGAATTAAAAGGCATTCAGCTGAAGGAAAAATTGAAATTATCAGTGTGCTGATAGCGTGATCTTATATATAAAACTAAAGTCTGAATGTTTTCTCTGATTAGTGGATGCTGATCTACAATGGGCGGGGTGGGAGGCGGGGCATGGGAAGAATGGAAGAACTTTGGATTGGCAAAGGGGAGGGTAGGGAGGCATTATAAGAGTAGGAAAGATGGTGGAATGAGATGGACATCATTACCCTAGGTACATATATGATTGCACAAATTTTGTGTCTCTATCCCATGTACAACCAGAATATTGAAATATTGCACTCCATTTGTGTATGATGGATGGAAATGCATTCTGCTGTCATGTACAACTAAGTAGAACAAATAAAAAAATTAAAAAATATATAACACCCTACAGATTCTATTAAAAACTGGTAAAACTAGTGAACACATACAGTTAATTTGCAGGATACAAAAACCTATACACAAAATAAGTATTTCTATACACTAACAACAAACTGAAAAAAAAAATCAAGTGCTTCCATTCACAATAATTACCTCTAAAAACCATTTAGAAATAAAACTAAGGAGGTAAAAGACATGCACACTGGAAATTATAAAACATGATAAAAGAAATTGAAGATTCAAATAAATGGAAAAATATCCTGTATCCATGGATTGGAAGAATTAATATTGTTTTTAACTAAGGGAAAAAAACATTTTTTTTTCTTTTCTTCTATTTACATTGTAGTTTTAAGTAATACTTATAAATTCTAAATAATGTTTTAAAATTCATTAAATATCTTTCCTCATCATTTATTTGAAAAAAAAAAGGTTGAAGTGGAACAGTTGTGAATAGAAAGAATGACTATATCTTTATCCCCTGCTGTATACATTTCTTCTTTGCATAAAATTTGGTCTGCTTTTGAGCCAGAAGTTCAGTTGTGGTGTTCATCTTCAAATTTCAACAGTTTTCTCAAAAGGGAATATTGAAAAAGAAAGTAATAGGGATATAACAAGTAATATAAAAATTATTCTAGAGTAGATGTAGAAATTTTTACAACTAAGGTTTGAAATTAATAAGGGAACTGAAGAAGGGTTATAAACCAGTGTTACTGATTGCTTCCTGAATCTGAGAGTTGACACTACTAGCTGTGGTCCAAAGTTACTGAGCAAAGGCTATATTTGTGATGCATTACAAAAAAGAAAGAGGTTTTAAGAAATATTGTTTGGAAATAGATTAATAATCAAACATGAAGTCAAGACTATGGTGACATATACCAGAATTATAAAAGCATTCTTCCTTTGACCCAGCCATCTCATTTTGTTGATACCTTTTAGTGCAACTACAAATGTATGAAATTACATGTTCTTATTTATTTGGTGCATTTTTTATAATAGCTAAAAGATTAAACACAATTGAAGCATCCAGCAATAAAGGAAATCTGAAAGGCATTGAAAGTTATACCGAAAGTAAACTTGTCCCTAAACATGTGTATTATCAGTAAAATAACATTGAAAATGCAGGAAAGGAGATAACAACAAGTTTCTATTAATGGCTGGTAAATGGGAAACAATATACATTACCAAATTTTATAAATGCCAAAAAAATCTTTTACTGGAATACATAAAAATATGCAAAAGCTTGCATAATTTGCCTTGTTTTGATTTCTATTTCTAATTTTTCATAAAAACCAAATGTGCTACTAAGATTCTCAGGAACCTAGTCCTCATGGTCAGGGGTAAGAATTGCTGTAATTCTTAGTTTGTTCATTTGTCTGTGAACAGAATAAAATTTGATCTGCTGTTGAGCTTCTCCTCAATCAGGAGTTCAGTTGCACTATTCACCCACAAATTCCAAGTTATCCCAGAAGAGAAATTGAAAAAAGAAGTAGGGGTACAAAAAGTTAAGGAAGCTAAAGCTCATACTAGAACATATGTAGAATTACAACAAAAATTAGTATGTTTCTTAGAAAAATTGTTTCCATAGGAGAACAGCATTTTAAATTTTATTTAACATTTATGTTTCACAACTTCTTTAGAAGGATTTGAGATGGTGAGAAGGTAAACTTGTTCTTTGAGTTTTATCTCAGCACATTTATAGGTGAAGCCTTAACCAAAAGCTATGACCAGAAGACAATAGGAGCCTAGATTCTACATTCATGCCAACCAAGTAGTAAAATTTTACAGTGACTTGGGTATTTGGAAGAAAACTTTTGTGAATCAATCAAAGATAACACTGAAATTTTGTGCTATAGAATTGTAATAGTAATGCTCACTGTGATAAATTAGTTATGATAGATCATTTATTTTATGGGGAAAAGGAATAATTCTGCCTTAAGATGTTCCCTATGAGTTAGGAAAGTTAAAAATTTGTTTATGCAGAATTTCATTGATTATTGTTTGGTTAGGTATTGCTGAGTTATGATTTTACCAAAGTAATAAATTTCAAATGTGTTACTATGTGTAATTCTATAAATCTTTGCTGCAAAATCTTAGTTTTGAGTATTGAAAACTAGAATGTTTTTTTTTATAGTTCTTTTTTGGGAGGGAGGGGGTTACCAGGGATTGAACTCAGGAGCATTCAACCACAGAGTCACATTCCCTGCCCTATTTTGTATTTTATTTAGAGACAGGGTCTCAAAAGAGTTGCTTAGCACCTTGCTTTTGCTGAGGCTGGTTTTGAACTTGGAATCCTCCTGCTTCAGCCTCCCAAGCAGCTGGGATTACAGGTGTTATATTTCTTAATACCTATCTAATCATGTAAAGAAATTTATGAATTGATTTTTTAGATTGCATTTTTATAGTAACTACCTGTATAATGTTACTCTTCAAACATTCATATAAACCTTCACATGTATTTTCTCAATGCTTTTCTGTGTTTGAAGTATTATTGCCATTTTTCACATACACAATGAAGGCCTAGGGAGTTTGTAACTTATCTAGTCACACACCTATGATACATAAGTAGATCAAAATCTCCTGACTTTTTATCATTTCTTCTCCCTGACCTAGTATTTAATTTTTATTGTGATGATGATGATGCAGCAGGTTGATAGCATGGTTTTATCTTTTCAGGATATGGCTTTAGTTGCTCCTGAAGCTCCTTCAGAACAAGCCAGGAGAGTTTTTCAAACCTATGATCCAGAAGGTAAAAGATCCGATTATGAACTGTTTTATGTCTTTATATATTCAAAGCATATTGATATTTACCTGAGTTTTATTGAAAAGAAATATAGATTGAATTTATAAAAAGTTTTAAAGGAAAATGATGAAAAGAGAACCAAAAAAATAACATATATTACCAATATGTTAACTTTTAATGTTAACTTTTCTTTCTTTCATTATACCTTTTCTCTAACTTAAGAAAAATCTGTTTCCTCTTAGAATTCATAATCTTTTAATCTTTTGGTAATGTTTCATTCTACTTCTTTAGATAAGGAAGTGAAAGGAATTTATATCCTAAAATTTTTCCTACCACTGAATCATGTTAAATAATAAATAAATTCTATTAATACAGTTTTAAAATATATGAGCTAATCATCAAACTTAAGATGGTTTGAAAAATAGTAACAATTTCTTATGAAAATAAAATTGACATAAAAAGTATAGTACAAGATTCAAAGAAATGTTGTGATGAATTGAACTGAAATTAGAGAGCTGTCATGAAGACTGGAGGGAAAGAGCACTTTTGGCAAATGGAGGATAACAGAAAAGAAAGTGATAGGTCTGAGATAGTAACTATTGTCTGGCCTGAGTAGAAACAAAAGCTTTAAGAAAAATAATTAGGTAGAGTTTACTATTTCAAAGTGTTCCTAGAGGTCCAAGGTTAGTGAAATAACTGAGAAAATTAATTATATTAATTGTTGAATTTATATTTTAAAGAAATATATTTCAGGGCTGGGGATATATAGCTCATTTGGTAAAGTACTTGCCTTGCATGCATAAGGCCCTGTGTTCAATTCCCAGCATCATAAAAAAAAAAAGAAGAAGAAATATATGTCAGAGGAGTTGAGCATTTTCCTGGAGTATACCCTCTTGAAGATTTAAATACTTTGTTTCCTAACATCTCTAACCTACTTTAAGATACCTGACATCTCAATGGAAAGTGTCACTTCACAGTCATGCACATACATACATATGCCTGCTTTGTTTCAGGACTTCTGTGGGGGCATGTTTCTATCCATGATTACAGTATAAGAGAATTCCTTATAGCATGGAATACATTATAGCCTGAGGTATGCAGGATGGCATGACAGGTCTTTATGGTACAGATTTTTTAAGTGATTTTACAAAATATGAATCATATTCTTACACAAGTAACTATCCAGCACATTCTAAAACCAAAACATATGATTTTGTAGTCTTTTGTGTTGGATACGGCTATGTTTGTTTCACTAGTAAAAATTTTTGAATCAGAATTGAAACTGTGGGTGAATGAGCTTCTTAAGAAAATGATCATGCAGTGAGAAAATTAGAGGATCTTGAAGATGAGAACCATTAATGAACAAGTGCACAAGAAATACCTTCACGGCAAGGGGTGTTCACAAACAGAGGAGACTGAACATTCAAAAATGCTCATTAGAAGGCTGAGTGAAAAAAACTCAACGATGCATACACTAATACTAAGGTTTTAAAAACCTTAGGAGACCTTGTCATAAGCAATAGATTTGCGTGTTTACTTTTTGCAATTTTTTAAATCATTGATGAGATACTTGAACTATTCATTTTCTTTTGCACATTTACCAAACAAAATCAGAATGTCTTTTATTGCGAATAATCACAGTTTATAATAAGTGGCAATTTTTTCAAATTTAATCATGAGAGATACAATATGAAAATAAAGTTGCTCTTCCTACTAAAGACAATTGTTGATTAAATAAAATTACTTTCATCTATAAAGTTTCCTTTGTGTCAGCTTAATAGGACTATAAACAATGATTAAAAAGCAAGGAAAATCAGGTACCTCAGAGATCATCTTTATGATAAATCATGTTTAGAAAGTTAAACTTTTCTTAAAAACTGAAAATTTTCACTTTCAGTCTTTACAAACAGTCATTTACAAACTAATCTGCTCTTCTACTAATTTTGATTTTTTTTTCCTCCTAAACATAGTATACCTTGCTTTCACAATATAAGCAAATCAAGCCTGCTCAGAACACTAAGTATACTGTCTTACAAGCTTCTAAGTAGTTTTCAATTTCCATTTGGCAGAGACTGGTTTGGGGACAATTGTCCTTTGTCACTCTCCTTAGATACTTGAAGAATAATTGATCTAGAGAGGAGCTAATGAAAAGGGAACTGGAGTTCTGGTACCCATGAGTATTTTTGTATCTTTATCTCACTCACCATACCACTTTATCTCCCACTGTTGGCTGCTACTCAGGTATCTGACAGTTGCATTAACCTGTAAGAACACTGTTCACACACTGTGCCATAGGCATATTGGGAATTAAATTACTGGACTAGTGCAGGCATCTTGCATATTTTAAGCAAGTGATTCTGGGACATAAATCTGGCTTATAAGTGGGACCTGTCTAAAAATAACAGTGACTGGCATTTGCATGGAGCATTACAATTCATATTACATTTTTGCATCCATGATCCCATAAACTTTGCCATAAATCCAGGAGATAGGCAGGGATTCTATCATCATCATTGTTCTTCAAAAATAAACAACTTTGTGACACTTCTCCAGAACTACATACCAATTAGTAAGAACCAAGATTGTCTAAATATTCTACAAGATCAAATACTTTCTTCCCCTCACTATTCCCGATGTCTTTTTTTAAAGGCTAAAATCTTCAAGTAGTACTTTTTAACTCAAGTTTTCTTTGAACTGTTGTTATTAATTTAGTGGAATAAGGATTTGATATTGACTTTCATTCTACTTGAACAATTAGAGTAACCTCCATTTCTTAGAAGCTAACTTAGAAGATCAAAATCATATGTTTGTACTGTTAATTTTGGTAGCATTCCAAATGAGAAATTTTTATTTTAGCAGGACCTTGATATCTCACATCTAATTACTTGGCTCAGTTTATTGAGCAATCCCAAGTCAAGAACGAAAATAAACACTAGTATATGTGGCTCAGGGTCTCAAAAGTAAAGTGAATCGGCATCAGGCCAATGCAAAGCATCATGCATGCATTTTTAAGGAAGTTCACATTGCATTTATTTATTGCATCTTTTGGGGGTGGGAGTTTTATGTGGTTTTGTACTCAAATGTCTGTTTTATAGGAGTTTTATAAAATAAAAAAATAGTGATGGAGGTAGATTGATCAATGTGATCAGATATGGGACAGAGGAACTTTGAAGTGCCTCCTAAAGAACCTTGTAATAGCAAGTAGATCTACATGATAGCTTATAAACACAGAAACTTATCCAAATAATTTTTCCTATCTCCTGAGAAAAAAATAATTTTGCATTTGGAGATTGTAGATTTTAACTGTGGCTTAACTAAGCAACATAATTTTTCTCTACTTTTCAAATTCATCGAAACTATGCCCACAAAACTTGAAAGTTTTCAAATGTGCCCTCAAACAGATAATTTATTCTCTCTGCTTCAAATTATCAGTAACTTGACAAATTAGAATTATTCTAAACTCTTGCCAAAAAATTGTACTTTTTTTCCTATATGATTTGTAGCCTTCAAGTTGAGACAAATCTGTCTTCAGATGGGGAAACAAGTGCTTAATGATGTTTAAGAACAGAAAAAGACCTTTGTGCTGTTATAACTTCATTTCCTTTTTGATAGACAGTGCACACTGTCTGAATGGGCAACCACACACTTCATTCTGTAGTTTGATTATAGGAGGCAAGGCTTTTGGACATCTTGTTCTCCTTGGCAAGATTTTTTAAAAATCAACTAAAGCCTGAAAAAAGATGCTTATTTAAAGCTGAGACAGTCTTTAGGAATGAGTAGATGATTAAGAGAACTTGAGCACTGTACATTTAAGGCAATAAACAGTTTGCTTGTTTAAAACTACCATCATTTCTAACTACCCTAACAAGGTTTTTTCTGTGTCATGTACTATTACATCATCAGAGTTTGAGCCATTTGGCAATGCTATTTCCTCATCAAGCCAAAAAAAAATTTTTCCATTGAATAGCCATCATCAACATTTGATTCTACTCTACATTTCAACTTCAATTTTTTTTCATTAAATCTATAGCTCTTATTTCAGTCATCAAGCCTCTTATAGGATATCTCTTCCTAAGATGTCTATTACCTAATAGTCACTACATTCTTTCAAGATGTTCTATAACATTGTGAGAAAAGGAATTATTTTCTTAATGGGAAATACTTTGTTTATTGAAAGATACACCTAATAAGGTGTTATAATTTTAAGTAGAAAAAAAACTTTTACCCATTTTACAGATTAGTAAGACTGTTTAAAGAAAAAGTAATTTGACTTTAAGGTTTCATTGGAATTTTCAGGTAGAAATTATGTGGTTAACTTTTTTATTTGAAATCTCCCCCCAAAAAGTCTTTTGTCCATGTGCCTTATAAATCTAAAATAAAAGAATCTGGAAATAATAGACATTATTATTAAAAAAAGTAAACTTAATATGCTATTCCTTAATTTTTTGTATTCCTTTTATGTGATCCCCCCCCCCCGGAATCTGATTAACAGTACTAGTATATCTTGAGGTAAACTCTTATTTGAAGTTTTTTCTGATATTTGTTTTTTCCAGATAATGGATTCATAGCTGATTCACTTCTAGAAGACGTAATGAAAGCATTGGACCTTGTTTCAGATCCTGAATAGTAAGCTAAATAGGGAGTGTCATCTTGTAAAATCAAAAAGATTCCATTATATTTTAAACATTATATTTATCTTTTTTAAAAAAGTTAAGCCTGCATTGTAAAAACTATCAATTTATATAAAATAAAGATTTAGAAAGAAATCAAACTAATCTATTATGATAGTAGAGACTTAACATATTTAAAATGAGCTTCCTTTTCCACCTCGTACTGCTGCTTTTTCTGAAGTGCTGAAAATGTCTTTAAGTTTTAAGTACAGGTATTCCATTTAAAGATTTTATTTCTTTTATGGTTTCTGTGAAATAATAAAAGAACCAGCAGGCCTGTAATTTTCAATCTTAAATAAAGATGACTAAATACATTGACTTTTCTAAATGATTAACTGATCTTAACCCTTTGTGAGTGACTTCAGTATATTTTAGGGTACAGAATTTTAGTATTACTTTTATGTCTTATCTTGTTATTCCTCTAAATTTAACAATGTATAAAACATAACTTTCTTCATAGATGTAGGATCTTTAATAAGAAATATTTTCTCGTTGATAATAAAGTAGGTATGTGTATTACATCTCTCCTAATTTTTCCTTTTTCTCTGCACAATTTTTTCTTCAAGGTTTTTCTGACAGTGAACAAACTTTAGCTTACAGAACAGTAAAAGCAAAAGCAACATGAAACATTAGTATACATAGTTTTTAGAATTTGGTCCTATTTTTAAATAAGTTCAGGTCTGCTTTTTTGGAAATGTGGAATACTTATAAACTAATCACATCTGAATTAATGTTTCAGTCATCTTAAAACTTTATTTTACCCATTCTCAATAATTAGACAAAATTATTTTAGCTTAGAAATTCAGAGTTGAACTGGTCTGATAAATGATAAAATAGTAAGTAACTGTTTTTCTTCCAGACTAATTTCCACATAGAGACCATCTTGTTTGCCCTGCTCTAATTTTCAAAAGAGAACTGAACTCAATCTTGGTTACTGATAGTTCTTAAGATGGGATGATGAAGGAGAAAGGGTCTTTTTGTTATTTTCAAATTCTTGTATGGATACATGCATATATGTAATTGCCCTTTTTCATCAGAATACATAGTATGCCTTGAATTATAGTTAGTATAGATGATTCAATCAGATTGTTTTCTTAGAAGTAGCTGTAAAACTGGACTAAGTTCTTTCTGTAGTTTGACCGATTCACATAAAATGTGATAGCCCATAATCTAGAATATATTAAAAAGTTAAATATTGTAAATATAAAATGTACCCATTTGTTTCATGTCATAACCTGGCCTTGCTCAGTCTTGCTAAAATATCATGTCCTTTTTGTAGTGTCCTAGAAGAGATACATGGCTGTAGGATGCAAATAGCCTACTCACCATACCACACATAAGATACAGTCTGACCTGAAGTTTACAGGAGACATGGCTACTGCAGTGCACATATGGATTTCTTAAACCTTAAAGCAAATCTTACCCTTACAGGGATAGCTTAAACTCCCTTTAAGAAAGAAACTCCTTGTCATTGACCCAGACAAAATACCCACATTCCCAGTCAGAAAGTCAAACCCCCTGACTGTATCTGGCCTATGTCATGGGCTGCATCTGCTGCCCATCTCTTAAGAGCTTGAGCCACAGAAGATGTCCAGATTCATTTTAACTTGAATTGAACCTAAGAGGAGAAGTGCCCAGTGAAACCCCAAATACAGTGTTTTACTTGTTATATAACGAGCTAAATTTAACTTGGAATTATAGTTTGAGATAGCTGAGAGAATAAAACTTTTCTGAAAAGACCATTTTTGTTTGTTAAAACCTTCCAGATTTCAGTCCATTTTAACATATCGTCTTTCTAGTCATACATAACACTTTTTAATAACTTTGACTTCACCTAAATGGCAAAGATTACATAGAGTTCTATTTTCTTTAGACTACTGCTGGGCCAATAAAGTACTTGCCACTTACTCTAATTCACTATACTTCAGCTCTTTGGTGATTATCTTTCCTCTTCAACCTTCAAGTAAGCATTTTAAGACTGTCTCAGATCTTGAAAATAACCTTTTTTACAAAACATTTTTGATTATCTGATGTACTACGCCTTTTGACATGTTTTTCTTCTTAGGCTGTACATGAACTTTTTTTTTGTAAAGTTAAATGCTTCATTTCATTGTTAAATTCAGGCTTACCTGTGAAGCAAAGAAAATTTGCCTTTGGGAGGTAACAAGACTGGGTTTTTAAGCCTTGGTTTTTAAATTACCTAATAAGGAACAAAAATATTCCAAAGTCATCATCATAATTTAAATTTTAAATAGTAACAGATTACTCTGGTTTAAAAATAACAAAGTTTTGGCAAATTAAATGTCATTCCTGTGTATTTGTCATTAAGATCCTGAAAAGAACAGCTTTTAGAATTTTTGGCAGTCAAATGTGTTATAGTACCAGTAATTTAATCATAAAAGAAAAAAAAATAAGACCTTCCTCCTTTGGTATTCATTGTTTTCCTTTTTTCTCCTATAGTATAAATCTCATGAAGAATAAATTAGATCCAGAAGGATTAGGAATCATATTGTTGGGTCCATTTCTTCAAGAATTTTTTCCTGATCAGGTAACATAGTTGAAGAAATACATTTATTATTTTGTTCTGTTGGAGGGGCCTCATCTGTCATGGTTTGGGTATTTTTTCCTATTTCTTTAAAATGTCCTAAGGTGTATATGAGAGACTGAGAGTGCTCTGTTATGTAAAGAACTTCCCCATGCAGAGAGGTCAGAGCCCTGTGTACCAATACATTAATGCAGAGCTTGGTGGGTCCGTGTGTGCTGGTGCAGTGCTGCATTGCCTGGGGTATACACACGTGCCAGTAGTGATGGCTGCTTGGAGCAGGGAAGGTGACAAAGGATACTGCAGTCACCGATATTTATACATAACCATACTGTTTTTTCTACAAGGATAAAATTCAAAAGTATATGAAATTAAAAACATCCTCCATTCCCTCTCATCCCCATGTTCATTCTCATGTGTAACTATTGTTACTAGATTAGTATTTATCTTCTAAGAATTTTGTGAATACGGAGAAATGAGGGTAAAGGTGCCTATAGGTAGTAGGAGCCACTACTAGTTAACCTAAATTCCAGGAGAATCTCAGTTGAATCGAAGAAAAGGTGGTGTTTTGTTTCAGTAGAGCTATGCTTTTTCATACTGGGACATGTCTTCTGTAGAATGTTGATAGTCGCTCATTTATTTAGAATATAAGCCTGTCACAAAACCCTTGAGTTTTGTCTGTGTCACTGGCAAACTAATTCTATATCCTATGTTGTCTTCTTATCTAAGAATTTTACTACTGAACTGAACTACTTAAATAGTTACTTGGTGGTCATTTTATCAGACAACATGTTGTAAATTGAAATTCATTGTTTCAGTTGAAATGCCAATTTCTTTTCTATCTCTATCATAAAAGAAATGTATTAGTACCAGTAATTTAATCATAAAAGAAAAAAATAAGACCTTTTCTACAAGTAGAAAAACTGTAAAAATGAAAAAATGGTTGAAGGAAATTTGTAAGATATAATTATTAAATTTTAAGATGGTTATTATTTTCATAGTGTTTTTTTATGAATTAAAAGTTAAGCTTTCAAATGATATTTTTTGGAATGAAACCCATAACTCAATATTGTAGACTAAATTGGAAGCATATCAGTGCATTGTATAAGTGTTGTCTGTGCAAGCGTGATACCACTGTTCTTCCATATTGATTGAAAGGAACAACTTATTACAAAGAAGAAAAGTAGGGAGATATTTTAGTTAAGTATTTTTGTGTTATAAAATAATACATGCACATAGCTAAGCATAAGTGAAGAAGAGCTTATGTGAAAATTTATACTTCCTTCTTCCCAATCTCTTCTCCAGAAGCACCTGTTGCAGCTTTTTGGTTTTCTGGGAATTACTCCATTTAAGTTCTTTGCTTTGTCGAATGATGCCCCAATGAAAGGATGAGCATTTAAGAAACTTTGATTTTATGTTCATTGCTTGATAAAATGATATAAAGTTTTAATAGTAATTTATTTATATAGGGCTCCAGTGGTCCAGAATCTTTTACTGTCTACCACTACAATGGATTGAAGCAATCAAATTATAATGAAAAGGTAAGATAATTCACATAGCAATTTGTCTTCAACTGGGTTGATGAAATAAGTACATATGTATATAGCAACAGCAGATTCCCATAAAGTTGTTACCTAAGGTTATTCCAGGAGTCTCTTTACTATCAAAACATATTTTAGAATTAGTCATACCGATTTGTTCAACGTGATACGGTACATTGAAGATCTAAATTGGAGCAATATTTCACTGTGACAAAATAACTGCATCTACATGCATAGTGTTACCCTTGGCTTTGTACATATTTCTAAATTGGCATTATGGTTAGTATAGTGAATGTCATTACAGATGCATTTAAATGCAGAAGGAGGTGACAATAGAATTTAAGAAAACTATTTTAAAGGATTAAAATAACCACAATGTCTAGCATTTATTGAGCATTTATCGGGAATTATAGGAAGTATTCTGTTTATACCCATTTTATAGAAGAGAGAACTGAAGCACAGGTAAGCAACCTTGTCAGAGGTCAAACAGCCAGAAAGTGGCAGAGCTGGGATTGAAACTTAAGGAATCTAGCCCAGAACATGCCCTCTTCCCCATTATGTTTGCTCTTTTCCTTGTAACTCAAAGGCATGAAGGTGACTCACGTGTTCTAAGCAAAAGTTTTGTCTCACCACTTCACTGTTTTAATGAAATACCACTCTGTGTACACATGTAATGTCTATTATGTTTGTATTTATTCAAAAAACAGTTGTGGTAAATAAAGCTGATATTAGAAGGAATAATCCCTAACATGCCTTTTTAATGTGATCTATGCATGCTGGTTTTATAACTATTTAAATTGGAAATGGCAACAGAAAATAGATTATAATATAAATACATAATTTTGGTTAAATCTAAAATACTAAAATTTACTTTTATTTTCATAATATAAAAGGAAAGTTCCATTAGATCCAAAATATTTTCACAAAAAAAATTAATTGATACTTATAGCAGAAAATACAAACTGTCAATAAGAAAACGTGGATGTTATTTCTTAATGTGTGTTAATGAGTGCTTCATCTGGACTTTGAAGTTTTGCATAGCTTTGAAATAGAGGTGCTTTATAGTCACTAGTTATTCACCTACACAGTTCCTGCAAGGTAGTCAAATATTATCCATATTTTACAGATAAGACAGGGAGATTAAGTGACTCACCCAGGGTCACACAGCAAGTCATTGACAGAGCAGGGATTGGAACTGAGTTCCTGATTCCCAATCCTGTCCTTGGTCTGCTTGGCCACGCTACCTGTGTATAGTAAGTTTTCAAATTATGCTTGTGCGAAGTATCTGGCATACTAACAAAGATCAGAAATCAAAACAGGGTATATTAACATGACAGTAGTATATAGCAACTATAAAGCAAAGCATAATGTGTCATTAAGTTGCAGAAGTATAATGTTACGCAGTTACTTGGGAGCTAGTGAGGTGTATTAAAAACATCTGAAGGAAACAGGGAAGGGGACTACTATGCCTGATCTTCCAAATAACAAAAGCTAGTTGAGATCTCCAGAAGTGGGCCACAGTACTCTGTCCAGGCCCTTCTGCTCCATGTTTTGAGCAAGTGAAGTTCTTTGTGAAAATAAGTCTTACTTGTCAAATATTATAACTTGAGAGTTACATTCCTTGCAGAGAACTCCTCAGGAAAAGACTCTTTTGCTTTGGGGAATTGAAAAGTGAGAGTTGTAGTTTTAATAGTAAGTTTATTTCATCGACACTAGAAACAAACTTACATATTAACCAAAATAAGATTTTTTTAAAAAATTCACACTAGAAAATGTCTTTAGAACTTCCTAAAAAAAAATAGATATATGAAACCAAATTATCTGGCCTAGCAATACTTTAGATGTAGAAATAATGTGTCTTTTAGGGAACTATCATTTAAAGCTGATATTTGACTCCTTAGTCAAATAAGTTTTTTTATATTGAAAGAACATTATTATATAATCGTGTGTATCCACCAATGAATATGTAAAAGTCATTATATATACTTTAGAAGAAGGCAATTTATATATTCCTATTAAATTATATAGTTAGAATTTCTGTTGGTACAGAAAATAAATAAATGACCATTCCTTTCATGTACCCAGAGAACCCTTTGTAAAGAGTTAGGGTTTCCACTGGTGCAATATGTCATAAAACATTTTATGTATTTTATTTGAAATGGAAGAAATAAGAATACAATTTTTCTAGTATTTAGTGACCATTTTTATATGCAGTGGCAATGATCACATAGAACATAAGTGCTGGCTAGTTTGATTTATCAGCCTCTTCCTACTATTTGATTGTACTGCATGAAAAATCAGGGAGAAAAAATTTTAAAAAGATGTCAGAACAAAGTACATTCATGAGCTGAATTTTGGCAATACTTAATAACAAATTTAATTTTCAAACATGCAAATTGTCTTCAGCTCTGGAAATTCAGTCTTTAGATTGAAAGGAGCAAATGGAAGTCCTCCTTAAAATGGATAGCTATATTTCTGTTATGGCTTTCCATTTCATGAGATTGGAATACAATAATAAAAGTGATGTAAATGAGTATAGTAATTGAAATTTTCTTTAAATAATTATTTAAAGGATGATTTTCTTCTTATTAAATACAGTCTGTATGTATCTTGTGATTCACGTATACTTTTATTCTAAACATCATCAGGTCAGCTAGCAATTAAAATCTATATCACTATCTCTTTGAAAATTTATTTTCATATTAAGCAAATATTCTTACTCATAATTTCTGTCAAAATAGATGAGAAGTTCCACATAAAACCCTATATAATAACTTGCTAGCCTATAAAAATGGTCTCACAGAAGAATTTACTAAGAATATTGATTGAGCTTGGTGGCTTTTTCTTTTTTCAATAGGTAATGTATGTAGAAGGAACTGCAGTCATTATGGGTTTTGAAGATCCCATGCTACAAACAGATGACACACCTATTAAACGCTGTCTCCAAACCAAATGGCCATACATTGAGTTACTCTGGACCACAGATCGCTCTCCTTCACTAAACTGATTTCCCTAAGTATTTGTAAGGAAGATTGTAATAACAGATGTTGATAGAGGGATTTATGACTGGCAATTGGCTAAACACTGGTATCATTGATTAACTGTAAATAACAATTAAAAACACATTTTTGTGTTTAAGATGTTTTATTATTTGGTTTAAAGGTTTACCTTAAAGCTTATCCTATTTTAACCCTTTGTGTTGAAATTTACTAGCAAAATTAAGCTTTAATCAAAGTTCATCACTTTTGCAATAAGATAAGTATCAAAATCACTATGTATAAACTTTTGGGTTTTATTTCATTCAGCCACATTTTATCGTTTGATTGATTCTGGCTTATATATCAGCTTCCACACTGAAATGCAGAAATTAATTTTTTTCTTTTTGAAAATCTTTTCCATGAGAAATTCTGATAAATAACAATTTATCAGTCCAGATCCTTTGATAATTGTCTTAACTCTGGCATGTTTACAAAATGTAGAAACTATCTGAAAACTTCCCACTTATTCACAGGTGTCTAGGGGATGTATTTTTTAAACTGATAGAAAAGAGAATGTTTGATAGTCTTAACACTGTTAACTTTCACTGTGTTGCCAAATGCTTTTCCAAATTTGTTCCAACAGCCCTATAAGCCAGCTTTCTTGTATATTTATAAATGTGATAAATGCATGAGAACATCTGTTACTACATTAGTATATTCCATTATTTATTATGATCCTAGTTGATAACCTAAATAAAAACTTTTTTCTTTAACTCTATCCTTGCATTCTTACATTAGTGACAAATAAACAAATACTTTTAAATGTTTCTGTCTAGACACCCTGAAAAACACAGTATCCAAAACTTTTCTAATGAACCAAACCTTACCTAAGAGCTCCACTAACACACACAGCTAGAAGCACAGAGCCTGGGTGGCAGCCATCTAAATCAGTGAGCAAAGATGCAGAAGCCTTATCCTGTTTACTTGAGAGAAATTTGCTTTATTCTAATAGTTTGCTCCACAGAAGTTTGAAACCTGAACAGCCAGAACTGGTTCTGCCTTCACTTGTGAAACAGTCAAACATTTAATATTCTCTTATATATTTTGGAGCTGAACTTTACCTTCAACAGCATACTTCCTGTGTGAATCTGGGGTTTTATTTTGTTTTTGTACAAACAGTTATAATATAATAAGTAAATTTTAGCACAAGAAAAAAAAGTGGCATGAGATATTTATGTATAACTTGGTAACATTTTATTTCAGAATTATGACACAATACTAGCTACTAGAATTCCAGTTAAAAATATTTTTTAAAATATTTTGGCTGAATCTTGGCTGCCTCAGAAGTAATATATGCATACACACACACATTGTTTGAATTAATTTCTCTAACTCCAGCCTTAAATTCCATAAGGATTATGAGAAAAACAGATTCTCTCATAATCATTTACCCTACAAAGTAGTGGGATGCTCTCACTGTGCTATGCAACAAATCATTCCAAAACTTTATGGCATAAGACAATCCTTGTATTAGTTTCACGCATTTTGTCACTTAGAAGTTCAAATGGCACAGTGGGGGGATGGCTTGCCTGCTTCTCTGTCTGGAAGCTCAGCTGAGACACTCAGTGGCCAGGGGCTAGAATCGTGGCAATGTCTTTACACATATGACAGGCATGACTGGGACCTTTGCTTGATATTATTGACAGTTGTAGACACACTGTCAAACAACTATAGGTATTTTTTTTAACACATGAGGGCCACTTACCAAAATAGATTAAGCAAGTCTAGAAAATGCTATGTAGAAATTAAGTAACACACTTCTGAACAGCCCAGAGGCAAAAGAAAAATTGCAATGGGAATTACAATATCCCTTTTCCTGAATGATAATGAAAATGACCTAATAAAATTAGTTAAAGCAATGTTTACACAAAAATAGTTTTAAAATAAGTATATTAGAAAAGTAGAAAGGTTTGCAAATTGGAAATCTAAGCTTGTATCTCAACAATACACACAAAGAAAATAAAAGGGTATAAATAAGGTAAAAGAAATATCCACAAGTAGAAGAATGAATTTCGGGCTTGGGTAGCTAAGTGGTAAAGTGCTTGCCTAGCACATCCTCAGCATTACATAAAAATTAAAAAAAGTAAAGATATTGTATCCATCTACAACTTAAAAAATTGTTTTTAAATAATTTGGACCCCTACCCTCACCTTATGCAAAAATTAGCTTCCAATGATTATATATTGAATTTTAAGAAGTAAGACTCTAAAATGAATAGAAAACAGGAGTGCATCTTTGACACATGCCAAAACGTAGATGAACCTCAAAACATGCTAAGTTAAAGGAGTTAGTCATAAAGACTACATTTATAATTCCATTTTTGTGAAATCTCCAGATTAGGCAAGACTGAGACTTAAATGCATTAGCAGGAGCTGGGATAGGGATGGAGTAGGATAACAGGATTGGTGAATGACTGCTAGTGTGTACAGAGTTTATTTGGGAGTAATGAAATAACCTAATATTAAACCATGGTTGTTGAGAGCCACAGCCAAAGGGGCCCCAGTAAACTTCCAGCTGCCAGCTGATGATTGGCTCACAGCGGCCCCAGCAAACTTCTAGCTGCCAATTGATTGTCTCCTCTGCGATGATGCTCATTGGGCTGTTTCCCCGCCCTTTCAGACCACAGAGCTGCTCATTGGGGGACATTTTTTGGCTCTGCCCACACGACCCAGCCAATCGGCCTCAAGAACAGGAGGAGTGGGGGAGGTTAAGAGGCTATGGGAAGCCAGTGGTGGCAGTTCGGCTCTGAAGGTTTTTCCTGAGGAGCTTTGTGGTTTGGTGTGTGTGTTCTAAAAATAAAGTTTGTTTCTTTTGACAAGTGGCTCCTGAATTGTGCCCAGCCAGACTGCGGCATTTGGTGGCCCGTATGGGGAACGACTGAGGGTAAGTGATAAGGTAAACTGCTCGCCCTGAGGGCAGGGCGAGAGGATGGGTAGCCATTTTAAAATTCTTCTTTTGTTTTGCTTCACTTTTGTTTTAAGTTGCCTGTCCCTGGAGATATGTAAGATGGAAGAACAACCACTCACATCTGAGGAACAGATCGGGAGAAAGGACGGATGGACATTTCAGGAGGATAGAAAGGCTATAATGATTTTTTGTTGTTCCAATTTTGTTTCACTCTGTTTCAGTTTTGTTTGGTGTTACCTTCTTGGGTTGTATTATAGTTATAGTAGAAATATTCAAGTAAAAGAGAAGGTCTCTCGAGCTAGTCAGAAAGAGAAAGAAAGTGTAGAGCAGAAAAAGCCATCAGGAGGAAAGTTACAACAGGAGACTGCTACTAACACCTTTCTATCACCAGAGGGCGTAAGTGTCCAACCAACAGCACCACCTCTACAGGAGACTGCTACTAACACCTTTCTATCACCAGAGGATGTAAGTATCCAACTAACAAGGCCACCTCCAAATGCTGGGAGGTCCCCACCCCCCGCAGTTGATAGTTGGGATCCTGAGACAGGATCTCAAATATTAACATGCCCTGTATTTGAGGCAGGAGGGCAGCAAATTCACAATGCTTTAAATTTCAAAACAGTGAAGCAGCTAAAAGAGGCTGTAACAACCTATGGTCCTCAAGTACCCTTCACTGTAAGCGTGGTCGAATCCATTAACAACTTGAACATGACGCCAGCAGATTGGGCTAATATGTGCAAAGCTGTGCTAAATGGAGGACAATACCTGTTATGGAAGGTTGCCAATGAGGAATTTTGCAAGGAGACAGCTAGGCAAAATGCAGCAGCTGGTTCTCCTCAGAGAAATCTAGATATGTTGTTAGGAAAGGGACCTTATGAGTATCAGCAGCAACAAATTGCATATGATCCTGGCGTATAAGCACAAATTGCTGCAGATGCGGTTAAGGCATGGAAGACTTTACAAGGACATGGAGGTTTACAAGGTCAATTATCTAAGGTAATATAAGGAGCTAATGAACCTTAATGCTGAATTTGTAGATAGGCTTATTCAAACAGCTACCAGAGTTTTGGGGAATACAGAACAGGCAATGCCATTAATAAAACAACTGGCTTATGAGCAAGCGAATCGTTGGTGCAGAGAAGTCATTAGACCATGGAAACATGAAGATTTAAACACATTTATTAAAGTATGTAGAGACATTAATGAACAAGAGCAAGTCGTGGCAGCTGCAGTAAAACAGGCTTTAGATGCCAGGCCAAGAACATGGTACAATTGTGAACAAACAGGACATTTTAAAAGGAATTGCCCCATAGGAGGAGGGTTTAACAAAACTAGGTATCAAAGGAGTAGAATACCGGGTATTTGCCCACGATGCCATAGAGGGAGACATTGGGCTAATGAATGCCATTCTCAAACCACCATAGAGGGTACTCCATTATCAAAAAATGAACAAGGACCAGGTGTTTTCCACGATATCATGGAGAAAGGCATCAGGCTCCACTGCCAAAAAATGGACAAGGGGGCCCAATGCTCCGGGACCCAAGACCACAAATATACGGAGCACTGGAGGAACCCAACAACCCCATCAGGGTAGTGCCCAGGACACATTGTCCATTAGATCCCTCATCAAATAAACCAGAGGGAGCGCAGGGTTGGACATCTGCGCCTCCGCCAAATCAGTCCTAACTCCAGAGATGGGAGTTCAAATCATTCCCACAGGGGTAAAAGGACCTCTTCCCAAAGGAACAGTAGGCTTATTATTGGGACGCAGCTCTTCTACTCTAAAAGGACTTATGATAAGTCCTGGGGTAATTGACCCCGATTATGAAGGTGAAATAAAAATTATAGCCAGTTCTCCAAAGGGTATATCAGTAATTTCACCAGGACATAGAATAGCACAATTACTAATAATACCCAGCCTACATGATAAATTTTCCAGTCATCCTGTAGAAAGAGGTTCCAAGGGATTAGGCTCCACAGATGTAGATTGGGCTGTGATTTCTTTAAATTTAGATTCTCACCCCATGCTAAAACTAAATATTCAAGGACATGAATTTAATGGGCTACTGGATACAGGTGCAGACCTTAGCATCATCTCTCATCAAGAATGGCCAAAACAACAAGCCACTCAAACACTTTGAGGCCTAGGAGTGGCGACTAATCCCCATAGAAGTGCGATGGTATTAGATTGGAAGGATCCTGAAGGATGTGAAGGAACTATACAGCCATATGTATTGGATCATCTTCCCGTAATTTATGGGGACCAGATGTCCTAGATCAATTAGGTTTGACATTAACAAATAACATCAGCAAAATGCACCCACTATTATGACTACACAAGGTTTTAGGAAAGGAAAAAGATTAGAAAAATAAGAACAAGGTATAGCAGCACCAATACAAATAGATCAAGGAATGGACAGACATGGTTTGGATTTTCAGAAAGGGCCACTGAGAGAATAAAAATTACTTGGAAATCAGAAAGACCAGTATGGGTTCCTCAGTGGCCCCTGACTAAAGAAAAGATACAAGCAGCCATGACCTGGTCAAACAACAATTATTGGAAGGTCATATACAACCTTCTATATCTCCCCATAATACTCCCATTTTTGTCATCAAAAAGAAATCTGGTAAATGGAGATTATTGCAAGATTTAAGAGCCATTAATAATGAGATGGTTATTATGGGAACTGCTCAATCGGGGATCCCTCAATTGTCTGCTTTGCCAAAAACCTGGTATGTTTTAGTTTTAGATATTAAAGATTGTTTTTTTTCAATTCCAATTCATCCTGAGGATAGTCCATGTTTTGCATT